AGTGGTCTCCTTGACCTTTCCTTCTGCAGCTTCACTCCAGACCACTTCCCCTGCCCCATTTAGTCCTCCTCTTAAGTTGTGATATTTTGCATTTGAAAAAATCACATTTTCACATATTTGCAATGTGATCAATGTTAATCCATTAAGAGATTGCTGCATTATATTGTACCATAATTATTTAAAAAGCCTTTTAACTTTACTACCATAATGTTCTAAAAAAAAAAAATTGTGATGTGGTTGCCAGGTGCTGTTATCAGTCACATATCTGATAACCCAGTTTCTATTACAGTCAGAATTGATAAGGAATTAAAACCTACAACTACAGTGCCAGGAACTGCAGTTAACACATGCATACTTAAAAACGGCTCATGCACGTAGGTGTCTAACAGGCATCAAGGCAATCTAGATGCCATCTGGGCATTTTTCAGATTTTAAAACAATGTAAAATCCAGATTTTTTTCCTTCATAAATATTGAAGCAGAGATCAAGAACTGCATAGGAGTATAAACCAAAGAAAGTGTATTGTCTCAATCAATATTCCCTATTAAATTAAATGCCGTCCTCAAGAGGGGGAAAAAAACCCAATCAGAACATCCTTGTCCAGTAGAGTCTTTGGAAAAGTGGATAGCAATCAAATTTCCCAAGATCCAGAAAGCAGGAACTTCAGATCTCTCACAGCCATCTCCATTCCTAATGCCTCCGGTTCTGCAAAATTACTCCCAATTCTTAAATAATTTTTAGAATCTCCAAAACTATACTTTGGCAAAAATATGATAAAACTAAAAAAAAAAATCGCACTCAGCTGTAGTCAAAGCAAGCCATGGGAAAACAAGGTTTTAAGAAAAGATTCTCCTTTACGTCCAGACGTAGCTGAAAGGTGATTAATGCAGATAATAGCACGGGTATACAATGCTGTAGTTTGCACAGTAATGAAGAACACTTTGAGCTTCATGTCTGCTTTCAGGAATACAGTTCATATCTACACCTGAACTGCATATGTCCCTTGAGTCTTATGGCTCCTACTTGAAGCTGCTGTATGATTATTATAGTATCCATCACACAGCACATGCCTCTCCACTCCAAAACCCAGCATTCACAGCTGTAATAATAATGGAGTCAGCTGCAATAATGGAACAAATCATAAATTATGGTTTAATTTTTTTTTTTCTAATAAGCTCGATTAGTGTGTTAAGCAGAATATTTTTTCTTTAAAAGCGACATATATGGTCTGCACTCGGTACATGTTACATGCTATATCTAAAAAATGCATCCTTAATTTTAATACACAGTATTTTAAATATTTTGGTTTGTGAAATCCATATATTTCAGCTTCTAGTAGCATGTGTTCTTAGCATAACACACTGCCTGCTCATAAAAGAACATGTGTGCTATGGCTCCCTGTACTTTAAAAGCCTCAGGAAACAGTAAATCCTCATGTGGTCAGAAAATCTCTCAAATCTGATGATTTTCAGGGAATGCAGAAAAAGGCCATTCCCTGGTACTGGACAGGAGTGAGAACAGGAAGGGCTGTGAAGTGTGCATCTACATTGTGCCTTGCTTCTGTATTCATATCCCCATGATGACAGCACCAAGAAACTTGTTTACTTTCAAAGTGATTTAACGCAAGGACTGAACATCTTAGTTACCCCCAAAAATAATGGTATCGTACTAAAGGATATGACTGGTCTCTTTAAGAGAGGAATAAAGCTTGTTTTCACTAGAAAAAGTAACCTGAAAACAACCTTTCTTCCAAAGCTCCCACTTTTTTGGTGTCTATGACAGTAAGACATGAGCAATTCTGGTTAAAACCAGTAAACAGTAAAAGACAGAATTTCATGTTATGAGAAGATAAATTTGCCAAAGTCAACCTTATGGCTCTGACGTTAACTCACTTCACAGTGACTGTGCTCAATGAGCTTAAGTCAGGACAAACCCAATGAACCAATGATAAATGGACACATCTCTGAAGATAATTTAGAGGGCTGAGCGTAACTTATTTCAGATGGAAGGATGACTGCTTCAGGCCACGCAGGGAGAATGGCTTGCATCTCCTGGAAGCTTTATGATAGTAACTACCTTGAGATTTTAATAAAGTATAGCAGCTGTTGCTGGAATGATTCATGATCCAGGGAAACTTCCCTTCACTGCAAGATTTCTGGGAAAATAGATTCATTTTATTAATGTCTGGATACAGTCGAAAGACAGAGGATGAAAATATGTTTCAGCATAAGGGTGGGGGGAAACAGGAGGTTGGAGAGTCATCAGAGAGAGGCCTGAGCTGTAAAAGTCACATCTCAGCACATGTTTGACTTTCAAGCTCTCCAAAAAGATCAACAGATTGGACAGAGAAATGGAATAGAAAGAGCTTAAGTGTGAAATTTGGATCCTCACTAAAGTTTAAACATAAAAACATTCCCTCAAAGGTCAGGGAACTTTATCTGATCTCATTAAGCTCAGAATATCAGATACAAAGGAAAAAAGCACCCACTACTGAAGGGTTTATTCTCCACCTCTTCCACTGTTCTGTGCTTTCCTCTCTCACTTTGTTTACACCTCACCTTCCAACACACACATATGCCCAGACAGCTTTTCTGTTTCTTATAGGCTGTGTATCTAACCACCGCTGACTTCGAGGCACAGCTATCTTTTTGCTCATTGCAAGTTTTTAAATAATTATTTCCAATTAAAAACACATTCAGAAATGTGATTGGACTAACACAAAAACCTATGTATCAAAGGTTTTGCTTAAACCATTTCACTAATGCAATCTGATATTGAAAACTGGAGATGTCGCTAGTAGACTAGGAAAATAAAAAGCAATGAAAATGAAGGCTTAATATTAGCAGCTGATAAGACGGACAAAAGAAAACTAAAATCAGCTGTCCTTACCTTACAATGGTAGGTGTCTAAAAATTAAAATGGCCCTGTCTCACAGAGTTGTATACATAAAATACAAATCTTAAAAGTCTTTATATGTATATACACACATACGCATAAAAACACTAGACATGAACACATGCACATTTCAATTCCAAATGCTTTAAATAGCATTATTAAAATATGATATACCAACCATCGCTGACGCTAGGCACCCAGGAAAGCATAAGAAGATAAAAGAGATATTAGGAAAAACACATTTCAATCTATAGTTTGCACCAACCATCTAGTAAAATAAAGGCATATAGCTTTTGCTTTATCCAAAGTCAGGATCGTTTTTTTTTCATAACCCATCAGCTTTACACTTGTTCTCAACTGGATTATAAATGAGCAAATTTTGTGCCTACGTAAAGACCCACAAATTAATTTTCAGTGAAAGTGTCAGTGTATGCTAAGACTGGTATGCGAGACTCTCTGAGACTAGTTTATAAAGCAGATTAAAAAGTTGGAAAAATGAAAATACGTACGTGCAGGGAGTAATACCTAACCAACACAATATTCTTTGCAATAGGACATCGTAATGTCCTAAGGTTTGGAGGTTTTGTTATTGGTTGGTTGTCTGCTTTTTTAGGTCAAGAGAGTACAAACAATGGCATGAGTTTTTCATTTTATGACTTCAAAAAATCTTTGATCAAGATTTTGACTTTTCCATTCACTGAGGTTTTGTGAGTTGACAACACTTTGTAGTCTTACATGCTAATAATATCAAAATTTGCCAAAATATTACCTGTTATAAGAACTCTTCGTGTGTTACATTTAGCTATAGTCACAGGATTCTTCTTAGTATCTGCAGAATACTACAGTATACTTTTTCCTAAAATGGGCTATATGCAATGAAAACATTGATATATATCACTGTGAGGTGCTAAAAAATTCAAATTTTTATGCTACAGGGCTCAGTAATAACATTTTTAACAGAAGTGCAAAGATGACAGTTTTGGCTTCTAGCTGCTATCTGAAATTATATGGGCCAGAGTACAGGTGGGCAAGAATCTAAATTTCTTAGTTCACAGTGGGTGGAGCTTGCCGGGGACACTATCCTAAACTGACACGGAAAATAAAATTTCACAATGAATAAGAACTAAAAAATTTTACTCAGGAAAATGAAAAAGTATTTAAATCTTATTTCAGCCATTTTGAAATGATTCGGCTGCACTCCAGGCAGAAGAGAGGAACCAAAGGAGCCTTAGAGCTAGTTCTCTTGGACTTTGTGGGCTCTTGAGATACAAGAGGGCTGGAAGCCCTGGGAACGCTTTCTGCTGAGGAGCTCAGGAGCTAGAATCCTAGAAATTCAAGTTCCCAGTATTTTCAGCCTTCTGTTTTGCTGGCAGGCTGCTGAAAAAAAAACAGATAAGCAAGCTGGCAAGGAACTAGCACTTTGGAAAGTCTGACTGAAGAGAGTGCTTTATTCCAAAACTTGAAGGCTTTCTCCTAGAATTGCTTCAAAAGTAGGTCAATAACTAAACGGATACAACTGAGTGTTTCAGAATCAACAAACATGTTCTGATAAAAACACATCAGTTCAGAATTCCTGAATCAATTCTCAATAGTTTAATTGTCCCAGAGTGCCATAGCCAAATACAGCTATTTTTAAAGGCAGTGGAAAATTGCCATGGCCCCGTGAGCACGTACTTTGTCTATGACAATGCTATGGAAAACCAGACTACACAACTGAGGGAAGCATCAGGGTATAGTAGGATGGTGGTGATTGCTGGAACTGAGGAGTAACAAGATCAGTGTATCTGTAGGGCTCTAGTCTCAGCACTCTCCTTCCCAAGCAAGAGTAGTAGTATCTGTTTTGATTACACTGCTGAGAAACCATAAATTAGTGCAGGTGCCTATGTTAATAACACGGGCTAACATTTGGTAGGATCTTCAGGCAAATTCAAACTCCACCTCAAAGACCATGAGTTATACTTACAAAAGGAATAGGCAGAAATAGTTTTTTTTCTGTGTATTTGTGTGTGCAGTCTGGAATACATTTTCAGGATACTGTAAACATGTTATTTCAAGAATAGGTATACAGCCATAGAAAACTGCCTAATCGATAACTCAATAGTTACCTGCATCTCATCTAGTTTGGACTGAATGTCTGGAGGGAAATCTCCTGCTCCGCAGCTAAAAGGGTCAAAAGGTTCTGCTCCAAAAAGGTCTCTCTCTGGAACAACAGAAAAGTGAGTCATTGAGAGAAAAGGTATGGGCTATGACAACAGCACTTTGAAAAAGTCAGTTTGTCAGTTTACATCTTTCTACAAGCTGAATAATAACACCTCCAGATATCTAACTGATCAACCACAACTTTTAACATCCAAATTTGAAAGCCAGGTCTTGATTTGTTTTCCCATGCTTAATACTCAAATATTTTACTAAGAACTTCCATTTAAGCCTCTATTTAGCTTTCATTAATGTTTGTGACTTCTAGAGGAGCTCTAGGGATCCGATGAGAAATAGTTCCAATTTGGACTGGGCATCTCCTACTGAAATGCACTCTGTAAAAGGTGTGTGTAGGAGTTTCATAAATGAGGAGAAAATAACTGGGCACCAATTGTCCAGTTTCATCTTAGCATTATGTCAGAAACATATTCTTGCAGAGAAACTAGCCTTCATGTTCACTGTCTGTCACTTTTCACCATCAGGTTAAGGACTTCTTTGTAAGGACAAGCAACTACTCTTACTCATGGAAGGTAAGGCCTTCATTTGACAGAGCTCCTCATTGCACAGCTGTTAGTAACTAATTGTCAGGGGTTTAAAATCTTGGATAAAATCAAGTCAAGAAAGAATGAACGAAAAAAGCATAGGACCATGAAATGTCACTTACCCTAAAATTCCACTAACTCTGGATCTACAAATAGAATTATTGCAAATTTCTCTCTGTCAATAACATACAGTTTCTCAAATTTTCTTAACTGTAGTATGCTTTCTAGTCATCAGGGTTTTTTGGAAGTTTGTTTCTTTTTTATCTGGACAAGAAGAAACACCTCCTGTATTTTTTTTTTCTTATTAGAACAGTGTAATGCTAGTTCTTCACATCGGACAGTACAAATATTTTGGGTTTGTTTTTTTTTGGTGTTTTTTTTTTGTGTGTTGTTCTTTTTTTTCTTCTCAGTAATAGGATATTTTTTTTTTCTCTACATGTAATGCTGCCATCTATACAGACTTTTTCTGTTCCACATTGGGTTGAACTAAACTAATAAGAAAATCATTTTGCTAACTCAACCCAACCACATTGATTGCAAAATTTACAGAACCAAGTTAATACAGTCTTGTCATCGGTGGAGAGAAAATTAAAACCATATTCTATCTCCTAACTTTCATGGTTATCAAGCAAGAAACTGGGTAAGCATACTACCCACCTTAAAACAACGTTAGCTTAAGAGCATGAGAACAAAAGGGGCCATGAGTATCTTTGAAATGACTAGCTAGTTTTCTGGTTAAGCACAAAATTTTACCCTTAACATCCAAGATATGGAAGCTGACAAATACTTGACACAAAATCCATGTTGCAGTGTTACCAGCCATCTTATCAATGCTGAAGATTGTGCATCTAGCTAAATAACTGTATTTATTTTGGCCTCCTTGGAGTCAGAGTTTTAGACTTGTACTTGTCTAGGCTCTTCAATATTTTATTGTGCATGCCAGTCTCCATGGGTTTTGACAAAACCATTTAGGTGTTATCAGGCTGAACAATAGGCATTTGAAATAATTAGCAGCTACCATCATTCATTCCCATAATAAAGTACAGAAACAAGAAGAAACTTGATTAATCACATATTGCAAAAACTGTGACTGAACAGCTACAAACTGTCACACGGGACCAGGAGATGGCCCAGATCTGAGAGCCTTATTCCAAAAGCTCTCTTGAGCCAAAAAAAAATATCTAGTCTTTCCTGGCAGAGGCAGACCACCTACATGCAAAAGAGACTTTAACAAGGAAAATCTAATGAAAAATCAGGATCTACCTCGTCCCCATCTCTCACAGCCCAAATGGATCTGCTCCAGTATGACCAGTGTCCTTATATGCTCTGATGCTCCCACCAAGTAACTTTCAGATGTGTAGCAGCTTTGACTTTCAATCTAACCTCTACTAGGCAAAAAGTGATTATGCTTTATACTTCATGGTCCTCACAAGTCTACTGGTTCATTATGTAGGTCTATTTTCTTTTTTTTTTTCCTTCCTTCTACTCCACAGGTTCTTTTTACCCTTAAAAGGAGATGATAGTTTTGTGTGGCCAGACAGCTAAAAGCAGCCAGTTTCAACACCAAGCCTTAGCAAACATTCAAGGAATGTATTTAGGAAAAAACAGCAGAGAACACAACTCTTGCATTTCTCAGTAATGAAATACGACTTATCACTATTTTTGAAAGCAAGTATTTTGTACGCTATTGTGGATATTTTCTCATTCATGCCTTATTATTGGGCTTTTATTAATGACAACGCTTCTGAGCTCATTAGGGGAATGGCAAAAGCTTTAGCTCCTTTAATGTCATCTTCCTTCAGGTGAAGAATTACTTCTATTCAAGGCAAACTTAGAATGTTACACTGTGATTAAATTTAAAGTGACAGCAACTAATAAACCCAGTACAGAATCAAATTCAAAATAAAGAAGTATTTCCTAGCTGAGTTTCTATGAAAAATTATTATTTTGGGAACTATCTCTACTATAGCTTGCTAACCATTTCAGTAAACCAGTTGAAAAAGTCCATAGTGTAACATAGTTTCTGCATTTAAAATTTGCATGTCATATGAGAGATTGCACTGCTAAGAGTGAGGGAGGGATAAAGTTCCATGAAATATTTTCAATAGCATCATCAGTATTTCTCTTTTGAAAAGAAGCTGAAGAAGACGTGGAAACTGGATAAATAAATTTAGTCACTGCAGAGCTGCATTATTGCATGGGATCTCCATAAGCTTATTTGCTAGTGCTCATTCCACTGCTCACAGGAGGGCTCCTTTTTAGCAGAAACGGGATAAATCAGTAATAATTTACTTCAGGCTAGAGTATTTGCATGAAGATTAACTATAACAAGAATATCTTGCCTGGCACACTCCCCATAATAATTGTAGCACAGACAGGCATTTCTTTCTCCAAAACACAGAAACCAGTAAGCCTTTGAAAACGATCCTTTCAAACAGAATATGTAATTTCCTTTCCCATTCCTTTCTGGATGGAAATAAATTCACAACTTGGGAAATCGACCAACAATTCTAAACCATGAAATGCTGATGTTTTTACATCTGCAACTCAAACCACAGAAAGACAGGAACAAGTAATAAATTCTTGTTTCTGTGACCTATCTGACATTCAGGACAAGAAACATGTAATACTGGTGAGTAGCAACCTGCACTCTGTAATAAAGTCAAAACTAACAATAACCAAACAAATCTACAAATATTTAGCTTTTCTGCTGCATTTTGCATCCCAATCTTCTTTACCTCAGCTATCATGCAGGCACAGAGTTATGCTGATATATGCTTTCCCCAGATGTCCTGGAGCAGCTGTGATGAAAAATACAAATTAATCACACCAAAGACAAGCACCCAAGAAAATATTTGGAATAAGCTAAGGTAGTGAAGTCCAGGCAGCCTTGCCCTTAGCTGCAGGCTACTCCGTATTTTTTTCTTTTGGAATTATTAAAGCATAAAAACAGTTCCACCATTATTCTTAAAATTTTGAAAAGACAGCATCTTGGAGTAGATTTCTACACCTGCCAGTTGCGACCTTGGATTGTCCAAGATGAATTTGAGTGAAACAAATGCTGAACAATTCAATAGAGAATGTTACTCTCCAGTTATTTGCTGAGATCTAACAACAATGCTGTGCCAACAAGAAACAGATTAATTAATTCCTCTTTTAAATAATTAAAATTACTAAATTAATTTCTTCCTATAAGATAACTCACAAGAAAGTTGCCAATCCCTTACTCCACAAGGAAGGAGCAGCATGGTGTTTAACACTGCATTTTTGGTTGCACTAACTATGCATTGGTCAATTGTTCAATTAAGCAATTCTTACCCTGGCCTGTCATGTTTATGTTTGGCCTGCAAGCTGGTTACTGCATATTTAGCATTAAAAGAGGTGTTTATAACCAACATTTTGAGTATAGATACTGGAAAATATTTGAGTATAAATTCTGGAAAGTACCTTTGTTTTAGAAAGAACCACTTTTTTGCAATTACCTGAAGATTCACCATGTATCTGTCCTATCTGCAACTTCCTGTCCAAAAGTCATGCAATTTTCTCCTTTAAAATAGGTAAAACCAACCTATTTGCTATCCCTGATATACCTAGCATTGAGCAACACATACTGAAAAGCCATATTGGTATAATGCTGAATAAGAACTCAACATTTCAGGAAACTTCTCCCTTTTATAAGCTGAAATGCTCTGGAGATAACCACCTTTCCAAGAAAAGGTCAGTGTTGCACTCTTCCAGTATTAGAACACCAGGTTTCTTGAACTATGTACTGTGAACAAGTCAAAGCAGAAGATATAATTCATAACACCTCAATTTTTGCTGGGGAAACTACCCAAAGGAGAGCTGGCAAGCAAAATTCTAACTCTAGGCATTTCTCTTTACGAAAAGCTGAACTGTCATCCTGGTGTCAATTACCAAGTATGAAGCTCTTGGTCTTTGAGGAATCCAAAGTGTTTGGTATTGTTATCAGTTTCCTGCAAATAGGACCTGCTCTTCTTGTGCAGTATTATTCTTGGGTGATTTGTCAAACCGGTCAGTTGATGAGCAAGATGAAGTTTGGCTTTGAAAAGCTAATTTTGCTTGAGCAGAACAAGTGTCATCCCTAGGTAACAGGCAGATGAACCTCACTTAGGTGAATGGAGCAACTGAGGTTGACACTAGAAAATAGATAATGCATCCTTATCTTCTTGTTTACTACTGAATGTGATAAAGATGAAAGTCATAAAAATGACAAAATCCAAGAAAATCACCCCATAATTTCATCGAAAGTGATGGAAAAAAACGCTCAAGTGCAGTGACAAAGTAGAGATAAGAACATTAAAAGATGTTTAAGAGACCTCAGAAGATGGGAGACTCCAAACTTTGGCTCCTCTTGGTTGCCACCTACCTGCCTTGTATTGGAGAAAGAAATGCCAGCTTGCTTGTACTGGCAGCAATAATGCCATATTAACAAAGTATTATTGTACATTATTATAGTAACGTAACATCACACAGCTTGAATGAGATTCTTAAGGGAGCTGAACTTTCTCCTCTAAGACAATAAATCCTTGTTTGATTATAACATATTCCTCTTCTGTTTTAAATTGCATTTTTGAAATATGCCTAAGGGTATTAATAGCTGATGAATGCAACAATTCTCAACATATAAAGTATTATAATATAGACCAAAAGAGCAGAGATCAAAAGTATAAAGACTATGATGTACTTCTGTAATCTCTCTCTGAAGCACAGCACACTGAGGAGCACACAGAATTAACAGACAATGACTGCCACGTCTTTGAACTACATCATATTAATTTAACGCAAATGAATGAAGTACAGAAGAAACAACGATTTTAAACAGTAGGTATCACTGAATAAGTAACTTATTTATAGTATTTTCTATATGATAAAACCCACTGATTAAACAACTGCAAAACACACATAGCTGAAATTCTTTTTTTTTATTTTTGAAGCTGATATGCACATTGAGATTGATTTAATGGCATTGTTTGCCGTTTCATAACAACAAATTTGAAAACACTAAAGGAGTTCTTGGAGGGGGTGTCTTTAAATGACTTTTTTGTTGTTCTTTTCAAAGCCATAGTTCTAATATTGTGTTAGAATATTCCATTATTATTCTAAGTTATTTAAGAAAAGTTAGGAATAGTTATTTAAGAACAGAATACAAAGAACACAATATTTAAGAACTATTCTTAATAGAAGAGTTTCAAATTCTGTTAATATACCCTTTGAAAACCCCACAGAAGTTCATCTAAATTAACTTAAAATCTTCTCTTAAAAAACAATGTGTGTGAGTGTTGTTTTTTTTTTTCAATCGAATCAATAGCCTTGACATCTACTTTCTCTTTAGACAGTGACAGTCACTCTGAGCAACAGAAATGAAAGGTGTGTAGGACAGGGTAATGGGGAAGACACCCCCTGACTTAAGTTTTATACTGCATTTTTATAATTGTGCACAGCTCTCATTCATACCTGAAAATTCTACCAGCAGCATTCCCCGAAACAGGAGAAAACTCCTCAAATGTGGTTTTATATGGTAGCGGGCAGTAACATTACTGTTCCTTATCCATACTAAAATAGGCATCAGAAACAGAAGGTAATACGCATAGACTAATACTTCTGCAATTTCATTGCTTGCGTATGCTCCGCTCTGCTCTCCCCCAAGGGACTTCGAATGCTTTTAAAAATACTTCGTGACTCCTAAAGGATTTCCAGTGAAGCCAAGAACCTTACTCTAGCTGCTTTCAAGCCTTTGGAAAATAAAATTGCTATTGTTAATTGTCTTTTGAAGATCTTTTAGGAGAGGTCCACAGATCTGGAGAGGTTCATCAACCATAACTGAAAAACAAAGCTGTAGATGATATGAAAACTAGTATTAAAAATAGCATTCCAGGACAGTCTACATCTTGACGGATTTCTTCAGCTCTCCCTTCTGCATCATCATCACCATACTTACTCCACCTGCTGTCCTCCCCAGAAATGTAGGCTTTAGATGCTACAACTGTGACTTGACAAGGAAAGAACTAATGGAAGTAAAAATCTTTCTTGAAGTAAGTACAAAAGAGATACTGTAAAAGAAAAGCCAAGTTAAAATCCCCAACCAAACTCCTTCAAACTGTTTATACAATAGCTTCAAGTAAATAAATTTGGTTATAACGTAACTTGGTAGAAACATCAATGACTTTGGGAAAATGGTATAAAAGTGAAATGGTGTTATCGAACGTGACTTACAAAAACTGTATTTGGCTTTTCATGCAAAATTTACGTAATCTTTAAAGATGCTTTATTTAAAAAAGTATAACGTAAGCAAAAATTAGGTCAGCTGTTACAAAACTTACTGATCTCTGTAGATCTACTGGGTACTGGAGGAGGCTGTGTACCATTGCGAGTAGGAGTTGATGACTGAGGGGATATGGGAGAAAAGGGAACCATATCAAAGATGTCAGTGGAAGGTGATTTAGGTGTCACACTGCCTGCCTACAATAAGGACAATAAATATTAGGGGAATATTTCACATGAAAAATATCACAATACTGAATTCTTCAGCATGCAGATAAGAGCCACATTTTAAAAAAAGTTAAAAATAATCATCAGCATGCAAAAACCAGCTCCTGACACCAAGCAAATGGCATTTGCAGTTCCAAGTCTGAGACATGCTAAAACTCTCCAATACACAAGCAGCATTTTAATTTTTCCATATTCAGTCCATCTAAATGCAGCCAGAAATGTATCCCAGTTAAACCTGAAAAAGCTGGTGACAAGCAGCTCTATATTGCAGACGGATGAATACAGACATGTTCACAAGACCCAGTTAAGGTAACACTGCAACAACAATACGCCACGCTCCGGAGTGCACAGAACAAGTAGCTCAAATTAGAAGATACAATCCCATTATTTCCTGTTTACTAATTCTTCCTTATGTGATAACTTATTTAACAACCTAAAAATCCTGGTGTGATCAAAGTTTCAAATGTATTTTTTGGTAAGTAACAACCTAGACATGCAATACATTAAATATCTAAAATAAAATTCTCATCCTTGAATGTGGAACAGATGAGATTTCATTAGTAAGGCCCAGGAATTTGGAAGAGTTCAAAATAATACTGGATAAGCAAAGAAACCCCAAACCTGACAACTACTATCATTCTATAGCCATGTTTATTTTTAAATGATTAATTCTTCCTGCCATCAGTCCGTTACCTCAGGACACAAACGAGGCACAGTCAAGTCAGAACAAACCGAACACTAAAGACAGATGATGAAACAGATTAAAACTGAGATTGACAAACCAAAGGCAAAATATATATTTGCAAAACTAGTTCTCATGTTAATGTTATTAATTAGACAATATGAACCCCCCCTACATTCTGTGTATTAGAAAGACTATACAGCCATGGACAGAGAAAGCCTGCTACTTTTAAATAAAATTCAACTTGACCAAAATATTCACATGAAAATATTTAAGCACAAGTTAAATTAGTCACACAGATCCTTTCACTCAGAAGACATGAATATGACAACCTGGTAAGCAGGTAGTCTTTAGCACAGCTGGTCCATGAGAGTTTCATGGACCTAAACCTTATTTTGCAATGCTACTTTCTTTAGTGTCTCTGCTGCAGCAGCTGAAGTTGCCCTCTCATGGCACACGGCACAGATTTCTAAGCCAAGTCTATAGGTAGTCCTGTACTACCTCTATTTCTCTCTGGAGGCTGCAGTGGCTGCTGAGAAGGAAAGAATATTGATATACAGTCTTCCACTGAATACTCTGCTTAAAGAGAAAAGTAGACTCTGAAGTCCTACATTACCTATCTGAGTTTTGAATTAGTATTTCAATTTTAGGTTTAGGTCAGATATAGAACTGTTCAGCATCTCCAAAAACATGGGATATTTCTAACTAGGTATACTAAAGTGCTAAGAAAAAAAAAAAAAAAAAGAAAAGAAAATTCACGTTTAACATGCTACTTTAAAAAGAAAAAATTAATCATGTTATTCCCTGGCAAGATCAGAGCTCAACTAACTTCATAAAATAACTAATTTTTAAGATTTTTACACATACAGAGCTCTTACTGACCTCAACCTGAGTTAGCATTGAAATTTTAAAGATCATCTGTTGTGAAAAGATTTTAGTGCATACTGCTTAGACACAGTAGGCTCTTATCACCATGTTCATGGACCTTGCATGAAGCTCTTGAAGTCTTCGTGCACAGTCAGAGAACCAGTATAATCTAAGTCACGGAGATCACTGGATCTTGTCTGCTCCCACTCAAAGCAGTGCAATGGATGTGCTTGACCCAAAGTAAACATACAATGAATCTCATATCCTGTTCTTCATACAAACAAAACTCACTGTAATTGCAGACAGGTTTTGTCTGCATCAGGAAGGTGGGATCAGGTTTAATGCATAGGTACGTGCCATATATTAACCCACACTTCCCATCAACACTGACGGATAATCCTAGAATGTCCTGGAGATAGTATAATGCTAATGTAGATTCTCCTTATTTGCTAAGTGTTTATGGCTACCTAGAAGCTAGATAAATAAGCAACAGTATTTACGTTTAGTCTTAAATGAGCCTTTTAGGCAAAAAAGCAAAACCAGACTGCACTGCTGTTTCCTCTCTGTATGCCATTTTGTTGACGTTTGGTCATTTTGATGCTACTGATACAACTAGTTTAAGTAAAACTGTAGTTTCGTTATTTTTAAGAAATGTATATTTTGAATACATATGAGCACAAGAAGCGTTTTTATTTAGTGAACACATGCAGAAAGCCATGATTTTTGCCAAATACAGCCAAATGTTACTTGCAAATGGAAGAAAAGTTGAGAGTATAAGCATATTGCTATGAAAATATGCCTATTTCATATTTAAGAATAATTTTCAACCTTCATTTTGCACAGAGTTTTTATAAAGTATGCTAAAAGGTACTTATTGGCTGATTGATTTTCCATTAATTCATGGGGAGGAAGGGGGCAGCCTTTGAAGTTGGACTTTTAGAATTGTTTGTTTTGAATAACTATTGTTAATATAAAGAACTTTAAAAAAAGGTTGACAGATAACACAGGTAATTAATTAATTTAAACATGTTAGGAAAATAAGAATTTATGTTTCAGGGGTGGCAGAGAACAAGCTACGTAGAAATAAGAGTAAGTATTCACAAATTCCATATATTAAGATTATCCCTAGAGAATCTAAGGTAAATCTGCTCTGCCTTTTAACCACTGTACAAAATGCACATTTTTAATACAAGTTAATACACAACAGAGAACAAAGGAAAGCCAAAACAACTGAAAAAGCTTTTGCACAGCAGGATTACACGAGGTCTTGGGCAGCTGTATTCACTGGCTGGCTTTGGAAGACCACTTTTTGAAGGTGGTGGTATTAACAATCCAGATGGTAGTCTAGAGTCAGGAGAACTCCTAGGAGTAAGCGTAATGGAAGAGATATCTAAACAAGGAGGTGAATCCTCATTGTTACACCAGAAAAAAGTAGAGGGTCTTTGAAACATATGTTCATCATTATCACACTTTATGTGCAGCAGCTGAAAAGGAATCACAGAAAGAGAAAACATTCTGAGGAACAGAACGTGGTAGCATCAGGGAAAGAAGAAAAAAAGAAAACACATTTCATATTTCTGAAAAATTTGTCAGCAACTTGCTTATCAGTGCTATGGTTACAAGATACAGATATTGAAAATATTTTCAAACAGAATCTAAAAACATACCACATGAAGAGGTAGCCCAGTATTAACTGGAATGAAGACAACTTGCTCCTTGATAATTACACCAAACAAAATAAAGACAGGCATCTTTGCACAAGCGGGAGTGTCAGATGCACTCTCAAACATCTAAATCCACTAACATATGCGCAATATCTCATACCTGCATATGTAAATTAGCAGATAAGCACATATTGGGGCAGCAGAGTTACTCTGGTGGTTAAAGCACAGGTCAGAATTTTCTTTCTCTGAACCAGGAAACACCTACCATTTATATCCCACCAATATTTAAAGAAAATTTAATTATTTAACTAAAATATTCTTACAGTAGAAGCTCATGGTGCCCAAATTTTAATTTTTACATTAATACTACACTTCGTTTCATTTCCGTATCTAGAGAATTTGAGAGCCTAAACCTTTATGGACAACAATACCCTTCTGCCATCTTTTCTGTGTGGATGAGTAACTAATTGAATTTGGTATTTTCAGTAGGTATCTCAAAAGCTGAGACTCATTGTTGCAAAGCAAAGGAATCCTCATGCCTCTACAACAGCAGCACAGGATGCAGGACAGAATAAAACTTGTCTGCTGGGGAAATAGAAACGTTGAGGATTGCAAGATTCTCTGGATTTCTCAACAAATCCAAAATCTACTTGAAACAGAGGCAAATGAGTAATATCCACACCAGAATACAGATGGTAAGAGTGTTTATCTAAGATGACAAAGTGGTAACTGCAAGGTTCTGGTGTGAATTAGGCAGACAAGAACCTGAAGCTAGCTGCCTCAAATGACTGGGGAGTATTTAACTGTACATTCCAGCAAGATTCATCGTGTATTGAGAGCTAAGCTAAGGGCTTTGTCCACTTTGATAAAAACTAAAAACTCTTAGTTTTTTGCCCAAATGGGAAATATCTGCAATTCTGAAAGGTTTCAAAAGAAATGGATCTTGTCTAGGTGAAATTAGAAACAAAGAACCTTTAGGAGTGATCCTGGAAAGAAAAGCAAAAACGAAATGTCTCAATATTTGATTTAAGAAACATGCCCAACCAATCTTTCTGTTGGTGCCAAGTTGTAATTCCTACCTCAAAATCTGAGAAAAACAGCTTTGGACAGTTAAAACCAGGCTTTAGAGAAGGACAGATTCATCTCTGAATCCTAACAGAAGGGACTGAACACTTCTGCAGACAGTGTCTTGAGCAAGAGTTATAAACTGAGAAGGCAGGAATTGGATCTGTGCTGTAGGTGTCTTGCCTAAAAAATCCTTTGACTTTCCTAGGCTGAAGCAGTAGATACGCGCAGCAATAATTCTGCAGTCTGCTTTTACTCTCTTCAAAGTGTCATACAACCAATATGACATGATTATTTCATTAGAAGTTTGCATAACTCCAGTAGAGTGGATTTAATCAATGATTTTAAAGCATTTTTTCATAGTCACATAAGGAACAAAACATTTCAAAACCTTTTAAACTGAATTTTAGTCCCTTTCTTCATTTTCTTTACAAATAATCTGGGTTAAAGGTATAGATATCCAAATTTAGTAACAATGGCATACTTATGAGAACACCAAACACACACCACAAAACTCTCTATTCAAAATCTGCAATTCATAAGAAAAAAAAAAGTTTTTAGCACGAAGAACTCATTGGTTGCCAGGCTGGAATTGTGAAACAGAGGGTTTGCAATGGTAATCAATAAAAAGGAAAGCAAATCTACAAGAAATAAGACTTACATAATTCGGTTATTATTTCAAGAGTATCACTAGACTACAGTTAGAAGACTTGCAATACTAACGTGTAACTACTACGGTGCAATACTTGTTGCTATACACATATGGAAAAAACAGATCTTATAATGGTGAACACCGGAAGACACTAAATACAAACAGTCAAATTAAGGAAACAAAATACTTCTCTGAAATGCTAAACAGCAGAGGATTAGCAGTTCCCATAAAAAGGCATGTATATTACATGAAAAAAATCATACAGAAACTGGTAAAACGCATAGAGAAGGCAAAGCAACAAAATTATAAGGAAGATGAACATATATTAAAATCCCAGCAACAGAAGGTTTCACTACAAAACCACGATATGTGTTATTTGCACCATTCAAGCCCAGGATATTTAGCAGTCACGGTTCCTCCTATTTATCTGCTAAGCAATAATCTTAGGACATTTCACATCACATAGGGTGAGGCGATATATGTGGATATGTCAGCTTTGGGAATGTGTCTTGTCAATAATGAACTGCCACTAGTAATCCTTCACTTGCACAGCCGTACAGAAGTCCACCACGGGTGCTGAGACCTGCGCTGCAGGTGCTGTTCTGCTGTTGCAGCCCATGACCTGGCGAGACAAGTGAGGCTGACAGTGGCTTTCTGCTTACAGCCCGACCTATTCAAGCAGCCCACAGACAGCACAGGTACAGCAGGGAAGCATCTTCAACAATGGAAAATAATATGGGGAAGGCGACAAAGAGAAGGATTGTACATAAGGCTTTTAAAATGTAGGAAATATCACAAGGTTCAGAAAATGAAGGAGGAGAAGGGAACAGTAAGCCTTACTCTGAAGAATACAACCTAAAAAGGGCATAATTTCTGAAACTTAATACCCTTACACCAAATTGTAGAGGAAGAAAATATAGTAAAAATATATTGAATTGTCATTTTATATGGCAAATGTATTTTGTCTGAGCTTCCCACTGTGTAACACTGAACATACAGTATTGGTCAGGTTGATATATTACTTTCCAATTTGGACCCCATTTCATCAACACAAGAAAACAAGATGAAATAATTCTTAATGAAATGAATATAGTAGTTCAGTGTACTTGGTCTCTATTATGATTAGACGTTATGATGTGCCTGTCAAAGGATTTATTTTGACTCATTCTACTTAGCATCATGCTGAAGATGCACTGTGTGGCTGCATCATAGTAGGAAATGAAGCATGACTGAGTTTTTGTTAATCAAGAAATCATTTCAAAATTGTTGGTTTTTACTAGGTGTCTCGACACTGATTGCAATCTCTGTGTCACATCCCCAGAGGAATCACATAAGTGTATTAATGAATTAGAAAATGTTTTTCTTCCTTAGAACATTCAGGTGGGTAATATATAGAACAGCCATAGCGGATAACTGCAGAGAAGATTATAGGGAACAGTAAGTGATCTTGAATTGGGCATTATGCAGTTAGTTAGAAAACCACTGATTACAAGATACCTGAGATTTGGGACTACTAAGGATATATTAATTAACTAATTCATAAAATACAGTATAAGCATTAGCAGTTTCATTAATTAACTGCTACATCTCTGGTTCATTTAGTACTTTTTCAGTAACATGGAATCCAACACAGACAATTTCAAATTTATTTTTTTTTAACATCACAAATGTAATAGAATTTTAAACCCTCATGAAGAAGTGTTCACTGAACTGAACACAGAATATTATAAAGTAGAAGTAAAAGATAAAGAGTAGAAGAAAAAAACATGTGCATTTTCCCACTTGGCTGTCTTAATGGAAACATGAATCAAGTGATATGCCTAAACACATTCCAAAACTGTTTTCTGAAATATGCACACAGTTCCAACGTCTGTCTTGGGCTTTTCTCATGAGTATGTTGAAGCTTTTTAATGAGGGTAATAGGTGCAGGTGGCCTATGCTTCTGAGTCACAATTAAAGAGCTTTACAAAAGGTCTACTCAATCACTATCTTTAATGGTCCATTTAAAAATAGACGTTTTTTGCAACACTGCCACGATAAGAATACATATTAGATACTACTTCAATGACACTTAGTGAATGGAAGAACATCATTCCTTTTGGGGTTGTTTCTCCCCATACCTTTTCCTGTTGCCTTTCAATTCTGCTTCTCATATTTCATCATTCTCTCTTTTAAGTTATTTTCCTGAATATCCCTGTTTTTTTCGTATTTAACTTTGCAGTCATGCAGTTGTCACAACTTCCTGCTCTGCCTTAAACATTTTGCTCAAAGAGAAAACCTTAAAGGCATGCCTGAGAAACTTCAGCCAATCCAAAATAGAGTAAAAATCTCTCTTATCTCATCAGAGGTTCCTCGGTTGCCTACAACGTTTTATTGTTCAGCCTATCATAAAACCTGAGGATGCTAAACGTATGTAATTAACCCACACGAAGGCTGTGCACTCAGCTAACCCCCACTGCCCTAAGCAACACGAACAGCATAAATAGCAAAAAAAGACATTGTGTGAAACAGTGCTCCCAGGGATGCATTGATCTTTGGAAGCTGGATTTATACATCGGAGCAGCATCCCAAGTCTTACTGTGATACAAACTTGAGCAGTGTCATCATAAGCAAACAACAAAATGAAAATCAGATTGTCCTAATATAATCAAGCTGAAATGCGAAAAAAGCCAGTGATTAATGTATTGCCAAACCACTAAAACAGATGAAAAGTAAATAGCACAGATATAGAAGTAATGGAAACTTTAGCTGTACATGCAAGGGAACAAGAGACAAAAGAAACGTCCCATACCAACATTTCCCATGGCACATGTAAGCGCAGCTATAAAGGCAAACTACTCTAAGGAAACTCATACTTCGATATAATATGTCCTAAATAGATCCATTCAGTAAATTAAAACAGTGACAGTTTGCATAATGCTCCTGCATTGGCAAACATAAGATATTTCAGAGACTAACTTTAAAGTTTTAGCAAGACTAGTGTACTTAAAAACATCAGCCTGAAAGGATAAAAAAAAACCCAATCACTAAGCAGTTTATGACTTACTGAATGTGCTGAACAAACTTAAATCTAAATAGTTACAAAACCCTGGAAGAAAAAGCG